CAGTTTAAAGATACAGAGCGACATGATTATAAAGTCAGGGAATGGTGGATAATGGTAGAGCCAGTAGACGTCAAGATTCTATCTTTAATTACCTTATTGAATGTCCTGGTGTTTAAATGTGACGTATCTCATACTTTATTGTGGCCTGAGAGGTCTAAGATCAAGAAGTAGAAAACGAAGGTGTAATCAGGAATGCTTCATATGACCGTAAGTTCCAAGGCTCCCATCATGACGCTGAAGTTAAGAGTAGTTTTTCGTTTTTGAGCCCATCATAGGAGAAAAAGGACTCTTTCAACGTTCTATTTGAACTCTGTGAAATGTCAAGGCTGCAGTACGAAAACCGGACTTTGATGACCGGCCTCGAAAATTGGTTCCGGGCCGGGTCGTGTTGTTATATGACTGGAGGTGGAGCCGTCAGCACATGCCGTTGGGATCGGAATAGGCGGGGGAAACGGGGAGCCGACATGGCAAAATGTACATCCGCGGACACGTGATGAGATGTATTGTCTTGAACGTCATGGATTTGTTAGACTCGCGAAGGCGAATCTTCCCGATCCATTGGGCTTTGATATTGGATGAAGATCGAAGGAGGATGACATTAGATGTAGTATTACGAAAAACAGTTAAAATTGAAAACCAATTGGCTTCGACAGCGACGCACCTCGGACTCAAGGAGCTCTATCATTTGACAGCATAGGTAGTGAGCTCAGGTCATCGACTTCCGAGTCCCTATATCTTCAGTGGCTTACAGCGTCCACGTCCAGTAGGCGGCGAATAATCGGCGCTGCTAATAAGCCAACGCTGATTGGTTGGATCAACCGAGGAGCCGAGAGAATCCGTCCGATCGAGGCTCGCGAAGGACGAGAGACCCAAAAAAACATCAAGGGGAATTGTCGATTGGTTGGACAGTCAATTCAATCCGTTCTCTCTCTCCTCCAAAACCACATCTAACAAAAGTCCTGCTCCTCCGCCACCCGAAGATATCGTCAAATACCACCCTTTCGATTCTCCCCGCGGATGCAGTTTGGTCTTGGTCATAGTGACTTTAGTTGATGATGGCTTCTTCTATGGCAATGAGGAGATTGGCCGTCGGCTCTGCTGTGAGTAGTCCCTGGTCTGCTCTCTGCGATGGCATATGAAACAGGCTGTCCACCGCAGAAGCTTCGTCAGCTCATCAATGCGCTTTGCTAACCTCTTGATAGTTCACGCGGGCTGCTAGGTTCCCTTCTTCTCGAGCTTTCTCCACCACTCGACCTGTTGGTATGCTTCTTTCCGAATCCTATGCGAAGCTTTAAAATACTGACGAGCTGTCCACAGCCCGAGTTATCACAGGCAATGGTCCTCTGCGAGCCAAGGAGGCTTCTCCTTTCGTGAGCAACAAATACGCCGTCATCGTACGTCTACCCGATCATCCGCGAATCACAGATCTCGTCAATTGACACTTTTCAGGATCACGAGTATGATGCTCTCGTCGTTGGTGCTGGTGGTGCCGGTCTGCGAGCTGCTTTCGGTCTCGCCGAGGCTGGCTTCAACACTGCCTGTATCTCCAAGCTTTTCCCTACTCGATCTCACACCGTCGCCGCCCAGGGTGGTATCAACGCTGCCCTAGGTAACATGCACGAGGACGATTGGCGATGGCACATGTACGATACCGTCAAGGGTTCCGACTGGCTGGGTGACCAGGATGCTATTCACTACATGACCCGAGAGGCTCCCGCTTCCATTATCGAGCTTGAGAACTACGGCTGCCCCTTCTCGCGAACGGATGATGGCAAGATGTGAGTCTGGACTTTGAAATCCGCCCACACAGCGGCTACTGACAATTTCGCCAGTTACCAGCGAGCTTTCGGTGGTCAATCCAAGGAGTACGGAAAGGGTGGACAGGCTTACCGATGCTGCGCTGCTGCTGACCGAACCGGCCACGCCCTTCTTCACACGCTCTACGGACAGTCCCTCCGACACAAGACCAATTACTTCATCGAGTACTTCGCCCTGGACCTGATTATGCAGGATGGTGAGTGCCGCGGTGTCCTCGCCTACAACCAGGAGGACGGCACCCTGCACCGATTCCTCGCCAACCACACCGTTCTCGCTACTGGTGGTTACGGACGAGCCTACTTCTCTTGCACATCTGCCCACACTTGTACCGGTGACGGTATGGCCATGGTTGCCCGTGCCGGTCTCCCCAACCAGGATCTCGAGTTCGTCCAGTTCCACCCTACCGGTATCTACGGAGCTGGTTGCCTGATCACTGAGGGTTCTCGTGGTGAGGGTGGTTACCTCCTCAACTCTGAGGGTGAGCGATTCATGGAACGATATGCTCCTACCGCTAAGGATCTCGCTTCTCGTGACGTCGTTTCTCGATCCATGACCCTGGAGATTCGTGAGGGCCGTGGTGTCGGTGCTGAGAAGGATCACATCTACCTCCAGCTCAGCCATCTCCCCGCTGAAATCCTTGCTGAGCGTCTGCCCGGTATCTCTGAGACCGCCGGTATCTTCGCTGGTGTTGATGTCCGCAAGCAGCCCATTCCCGTTCTTCCTACCGTCCACTACAACATGGGTGGTATCCCTACACGATACACTGGTGAGGTTCTTACCGTTGACGAGAAGGGTGAGGACAAAGTTGTCCCTGGTCTGTACGCTTGTGGTGAAGCCGCTTGTGTGTCTGTCCACGGTGCTAACCGTCTGGGTGCCAACTCTCTTCTCGATCTTGTTGTCTTCGGTCGTGCCGTTTCGCACACTATTCGTGACAAGTTCAACCCCGGCGACGCCCTGAAGCCTATTGCCGCCGATGCTGCTTCCGACCACATCGAGGTCCTCGACAAGGTCCGAACTGCTGATGGTCCTAAGAGCACCGCTGAGATCCGACTCGCCATGCAGAAGGCTATGCAGACTGATGTCAGCGTTTTCCGAACCCAGGAGAGTTTGGATGAGGGTGTTCGCAAGATGACGGAGATTGATGCCATGTACAGCCAGGTTGGCATGAAGGATCGCAGCATGATCTGGAACTCTGATCTCGTTGAGACCCTTGAGCTCCGCAACTTGCTCACCTGCGCGTAAGTTTTGACTCTTTTATGATACACTGAAGTAATACTGACACGATATACAGTATCCAAACTGCCACTTCTGCCGCCAACCGAAAGGAGTCTCGTGGTGCTCACGCCCGCGAGGATTTCCCCGAGCGAGATGACGAGAACTGGATGAAGCACACTCTTTCTTTCCAGAAGGAGCCTCACGGCAAGGTCGACCTGGCCTACCGAAAGGTCATCGCCAACACCTTGGACGAGGCCGAGTGCAAGCCTGTGCCACCTTTCAAGCGTGTGTACTAAGCGTTTGCGAATCCGGACACGAGGAAGTACTTGGGAAGGAGTTTTTGTTAGCTTGTTGGGAAACTTGGCATGCATGATTCTACGCAGGGCAGCGTCTCCTTTGTGACAAGATGTGCGGTATATATCCTTTGGGAAGAGGAGGCGGGCTTGATAAGAAGCAGCGAGAGAATGGTCTCTGTTGGGTCTAAGGATGAAGACTTGGCAAGGGACGTGTATTTGTCGACATTTTGTAGTTCAAAAGAAGTTAAGAGACTTAAAAGAAGATTTTCTATGTACTTTGTGTCATTGTGTCTGCAGCCCATCATTTTGCTTGGTCAGATTGATACATTGGCCTAGGTAACCTTAGGCCTCCTTTAACCCATGTTCATCATTAGACCCGTCAAATATTGGTCTGATTCATGAACGCGACAAGCTTGACGCAATCTCGAATTTCTTATGGGCACTGCACACAAGTAATTCAAAGATCGATGGGCAGAATAGTGCGTTCACGTATTTGATGGAGTTGTGTCTGCGGCGAATAAGTCTATGCCATTGTTCTCTCTGGTCAACGCTGAGGTGTATCTGTTGTTCACGAGGAGTATAGCCCAGAACAGAGAATCTCAATAGAATCATTGCATATAAGAGGCAACGTTCATTGAATTTACTGATTACAGTGAACTGTTGCAATGGTCACCTCTATTATAAAATAGCTCATTCTTTCCTCGATGTAGCCTCAAATCTACAACTCATCTCAGCTTCCTAAGCACCAGGCTTCGCATCTCAGCAGCCTTACCCAACTGTTGTCCTAAGCCCATCACCACTTCCCTCTAGGTACGCAGTAGGATCTCATAAACGTTACGTGACTACAAGTATTACCCCTCAATAGGCCCTCCCCATCCAAAATGTGCCGTCAAGTCACCCGCGTTGCTTCGTGCTGGCTCTGTAATTTGAGACTCGAACCTTTTGGCCGATTCTTCCCTTGCGGCAATGTTATCACTGCAGGGAAAAAGGGCTGCGACATTTTGGTGCTGGAGGAAAACGTTGGCCCCGGGGATTTGCTATGTCATGAGTGCCTTAAGATTACTGATGGAATGAACAAGCTCAACGACAACCAGGCTCTCCCCGAGTCCCCCAAGATGGCTGGAAGACGTTGGTTGAAACTGATGAGGTAGAGAATGGACATTGAGCGCTACTGAGACTGAAAATTAGGAACAGGATAAAAAAAGATGCTGTGGTGGTAGGGGTATCTGCTATGCTTGTGTCTTTCTTATGGTGGGTGGTATCTAAATGGTAAAATGCGTGGGAAACAAAACGTAAGTCTCTGGCTGTCAACCAGCACGACTATCTGTCTGACACAGAGTCTTCACTAAATAACAATCCTTCTTCCTCATCTCTGGGTATATCCTCCTCGGTTCTCAAATAGTTGCTTCGTGATGTGGACGACTTTGCTTGTGTTCTCTCGTAGTAAGCCACAAAAACTAAAATCATTTGAACGATACTAAGGAAATCATTGTAAGTCAGAGAGATGTAACTATGAGATTTGAGCATGCCTTAGGGAGCAAGAAAACTTGGGACCTGGGCCCTAAATGATAAAAAGGTTTAGGTAACTTGGTATAGGTTTAGGATAAGTTTAGGATACCTTATATTAAGGCATGGTATTTTCTTGTTCCCCAGGGAGTAGGAGTAGTAGACTTACGCTTTGGTGATGCCGAAACATCCAAGGGCTCGTCTCCCAAGATGTGACTCGTCTGTGCTCGGGGCAGAGCCGGAAACTGGGCGATCCGAAGGACCGAAATAGCCATAGATGAGTGACAGGATTGCAAAGAGAATGGCTAATGGAAAATCGATGCAGATTCGTGTGGAGGGGCTAAAACTGTGGTATCTTCTGGTCCAGAGATGGATAGAGTCGGCAAAATTCCATATCAGAGCAAGGGTAGTCTAAGTTGTTTCTTCGTTAACAGGTGGCAGAGTCATGAGAATAGATAGGTACATACGACGACACCAAAGAAGATGAGGGAGATTTCCCCATCATTAGAACTAGAGGCCAATAGCGAGACAATGACAAGCAGAAGAGCGTCAACACAGATGGAGAAGAGACGAAGGTTAAGTCTGGCCTTCCATATATGATGATCTTTGGCGGGAAGAGATGGTATGTCGTGAGCTGACAATGGTTGTGCCTGTTCTTGAGGCCGGTCTAAAGGTTGATCTTGTGTTGGCGTTGAGCCTTGTTTAGGAGTAGAATCGAAGTCGTCATGATACTGATACTGTGGTCCGGCTGTTGTAAGTGGAATAGCCATCCTGCCTGCAGCTACGACTTGACTCGATCAACAAAGATGCCAAGAAATGCAACGAAGAAAATTGATGCGATCAGACGAGATTACATAAGAGAGAGGGAAGAAAAGAGCCGGCATCTTTTAATGCTTACGACTCCCATTGTTCAAACGAATCCTGAAGGAAGATGGATATATTATGTCTAGAGTCAGAGGACCCCTGTTTAGTTACCCGTGTACCCGTGCTACGCCGAATGAGGGGCTCATGGAGGCTCAGCTTCCGAGTCTCTTTTAGTAGCCAAACTGAACTGACAAGGCAATCCCCTGTCAAAGTTGTAAACTTTGCCTATTGTCTCTTGGCGATGTTGCATTTTGAGGCTGATCCCAAGGGATTGACGGGATATTGCGGCGGTGACTAGTGGAACTGTCGGCCCGTTGTCCGTTTACCTACGGAGTACGGATATAAAACAAAACATCTCTATTTTAATCTGTTTACATAACTACTGTTTATTTTACTTTTCCTCCTTCCTATTCTGCTCCTCGCCTTGCTCTTCATCTTCTGTTTGTGTTTGTGTTATCACAGGCTTTTCTCGTCGAGGATGCCAACCTCCTGTCCAGCCGATCCATCCCCTTTCCCTAGGTCCTCTTGCAACGGCGATCAAGATGGACAATCCAACAAATGCAACTGTTGATGATTACATTAGTAACTGAAAGAAGAGTCCGCCGAGTTGACTTACTGCTGCATCCGCCGCTTCTTCTCCAACCTCCACTAGCATACAGTCTATTCCCCACTGCCGTGCCAGTCAATTGTCCAGCAAACACCAGGGCCATGTAAGCCGTGTTAACTCTATTACGCGCCTTGGGATTGATGCCGAAGATGGCCGCGCGGTTCGACACTGCTGCTGTCTGCATACCGACATCGATGCCGATAGCCTGAATCACAAGGCCGGCAACGGTAAAGCTTCCAGTGAAAGTCCCGACGATAACTCCAGTCAACGCCAGGATCTGGCCGCCTATCGTCGGGAGTAGAGGTATATAACGATCAATCAACCTCCCGATCAAGGGGATCGACAAGATAGTCGCAAGCGAAGTCAGAGAAAAGAGACCAATCTGTAGAGACGTATAGTCAAAGGGCGCAGAAGCGAGTAGAAATGTCAGCGTTGTCCAAAACGACGTGAACACAGCTGACAGCGTAAAGGCAATGAGGCAAGCCTGTATCAGAACGGGCTCAGTGACCATCATGCGAGGAATTGACCAAAGAGCATAGAGATAGTTCAACCCATCCGGATTGGTCGATGGGTAGTCAGGCATGAAGCAGAAGAGCACAACCCCCATGAGGTACTGCAGACCGCATGCCAGCCAGTAAATGTTGCGCCAACTTGTGAAATTCGCTACCACTCCTGAGAGTAACCTCGCCATCAACAGACCCAGCATAAGCCCTGATGTGACGATAGCAAGAAGAGACGCCTTTCGATGTGCTGGCGCAAAGTCTCCTACTAAAGGAACCATCAGCTGTGGTGTCACTGTGGTAGCACCGCATACAAAAGATAAGGCACGGAAGACGGTAAAGTCATTTGTTGCACAGAGTCCTATCCACTACGTGATGTCAGCTGCTGAATATAGTAATATGCTACACAGAGCTTACCATTGTTGCAGTGGCCAGAACAAGAGCGATGATGAACGGGCGCCTTTCGAGAATATCCCCGAGTGGTAGAACAAAAATGAGACCAGCTGCGTAGCCTGACTGCAACAACGTTGCAACCTGGGATGATTCTTCGTATGAGACATTGAAAGTGGCGGCTATCTTGTTGAGAATTGGCTGGTTGTAGTAGAGATTTGCAACTGTGATACCTGATGCCTATTACTGTCAGTTAGCATGCATGAGCTTCAATAGTTGAGGTAATTTACTTACCAGGGCGTAGAGACAGCAATGTCTCATAGACAAAGCTGGTGGCGACTCATCGCTCCATCGACAATTCTTTGGTGTCAATATCCTACGAAGTAAACTCGTTTCATACTTTGAAGACTGCAATACGACGTTGTTGGAGCCCGTTTCTTCAGTTGACTCGACTGAAATGCGAGCCTTGGTGTCCTCGGCTGAGTCTTCTTGACTCGGAAATGTTTCCGTGATGCTATCACCATAGACATTTGGCCGCTCAGGTTGATTCGAGGACGTCATCGTTGCTCGGCAGACACGTTGAAGAGAGTTAAACAAAAACAGTGATCAACAAATAGTCAACATGCTAAGAACTCGAAAAAGGCGTATCTTTGTGGGAGTTATATAAGAGATGATCAACAATGGCAAAAAATTAGCATGATCAATAGTCGTCAAAGTGGATTATTGTCTAACTACATATCCCCAATGGAGTTGCGGAATCGCAAGCACGGAGTTGGCTAGCTATCTAATCAAAAAGCACGCAAGACAATGGACGGGGGTTACGAAATTCTGCTTCTCTTCCTCCTTTTGCCCATGGAAATGGGGTCGGTCAACTAATGTTGTGCTGCTTGGAGAGGTTGACCGGATATAAATGTCCGTAATATCCGCCTCTCAGAGTGTCAGCAGCTTCATTGCAACCCTAGAGGTGTAATACAGTTCGGGTTCCGTATGCAGCCATTAATAAAGATTAATTGGTCCAAGTTTAATTAGGCTCTGATGAATTGTTACGGATACAAAGGGTCTTATCATCATAGACTTTGAAGCCAAAGAATGAAAGAACAAGCCTAGCTATAGTTGTTATGTGTAAGCAATTGTAACCCATCATGGCCAGGTTATCAGCAGTTTTGGATCGTTATGAGGGTACAAGTACAGCTAGAATGCCAAAGGCCAAGAGAACAAGAGCTGGAATTGGGATCATACGAGGTTTCTTGTCTATGAGTCGTCTTTACTCTAATTGACTGAGACCATTCCAAACGTCACTGATACCTAGTCAGCACATGAAGGCCCGAAGCAGAGGTTCTAAACACAAGGTGTATCCCAAATCTAGTCCTTTTCATGAATGGCATCTACTATAACCTGGCAAGCATTTAAGATTTAATCGTCCTTTTGACAAAATACATCCTCCCCTTTTCACACCAACTCCATCCACTCCTAGCTCCAGTCAACTTTTGTTAGAAAAGCATTCCCAAAGTTTACCTCTTCTTGCCCTTGCGCTTGTTAGCCTTGCCCTGCGAAGCGCCAGATGCCTTGGCCTTGGTGAGAGAATCAGTGCTCTTGTCAAGAAGCTCAAAGTCCTCGCCGGCAGAGTCGGTGCTGGGGGTGGGCTGGGGAACATCAGAGTCCTCATCCTCAGCGGGGATCTCGATCTCGAGGTCGGTGGGCTTCTTGGAAAGGAAGCGGCCGGCAGTGATGTTGAACAGGAAGATGGGTGCGCGGAAGACTGCGGTGTCCTTGATGGTGGGCTTGGCAAGCTCATTGGGCTGTCACATGTTAGTCCAGTCAATTCGATGAGATTGTGATAGCTTACGTCAAGGAGGAACTCGTGAACCTCGCCCTCCTCATCCTCTCCCTCGAGGTAAACGTCACCAAGGGAGTCAACAACGAGAATCTTGCCATTCTCAGCAACAACTCGCTTGCGAGCACCAGTAGGTCCAGCAGCAGGGATAGGAGTAGCGGTTCCAGAGGAAGCCTGAGCAGCACGGCGCGTCTTCTTAGCAGGACGGGCGCCCTCGCGCTTGGCCGCCTTCTCCTGCATACGGCGCTCTCGTCGGTTCTGGGGCAGAGGGGGGGCCTCTTCCTCGTCGCTAGCGGGCGCGGGAGATGCAGCAGGGGCTGGAGCGGGAGCTGCATCGACGCCAGGGATGTTAAGACCACCACCCCAAGCGGTGTCGCGGGCGAACTTGATGTAGCGCTCGACAAACTCCTTCTGTCGCTTCCAGCTCATGTATAGAGTGAGGTAGTGAATACCACCACCTACAACGAGGAAAAGGCCAACGATGACCGTGCCCAGGCCGGGGCGGTATCGGTTGTAGTAGTAATCGGTGCCCTTCCAGAGAGGGAAGCCATTGGAGAGGAAATGGTCGTATCGGTCGCGCTCGGGGCCACGGAGGATGTTGGCGATGAGAGAGAGACGAGCCTGAGCCTCGCCGGCCTTCTTCACAGCAGCCTTGATCTCAGCATTGGTGGGAGGCTTGGTCTTTTTGCCAGCCTTCTTGTCCTTCTCAGCCTTGGATCGCATTCCCTGTCTGACCTTGTCCGGGTGCAGATTTCGGGTCTGCTTGCGATAGGCCTTGGTAATATCATCGAGCGAGGCAGAGGGAGGAACGCCGAGGATGTCGTAGAAGTTGGCAGCAGGATCGGTCTCATACTTTGAGATCTCATCTCGAATGCGAAAGATTTCGCGATCTGGGAGGGTGGGAATTAGTTAAGACATGAACCAGAGGCGAGCCCAGAGTAAAACATACCTTCTTTGCTCCAGGCGGCTGCCAAGGGGCTGAAGAGGGCGAGGAGCCCAACAGACAAGTACGAGATCTTCATCTTCAACCGTCGATGCGATGAAGAAGAGAGGAAGAAGTGGTACAGCAAAAGGGAAAAGAAAAGAAGACAGAGAGGAAGAGAAGAGATGAGCGAGGGCAGGGGGCTGTAGCGGTTCCTGGGCTAGAGCGTAGCTTAGATCTTCATCCCTACCTCTGTAGAGCTTTTTTTAGTGGAGGGGGGGAACCTATTGCAGAAGGCCAGCTGTCCTATACTGACTGTACTGGCCAAACTCACCCAATACAAACGCAAAGGAAAGCGCCTCAATTGAGGAGTTTGGCCAAACACAGGTGAGTAGGCAGGCTGTGATAACGTACGTATTGCAAATAAATCAATCAATTGTTGCTGTAACCACTGTTTGTAGCCTTTGAGGCAACAAGACCCTTCATGTTGCACTATTTGGGGTTGTATAACAGGGGTTCACGCATGTCTACCCCCTCAAATACAATGCGCCTTTCTCAGTTATCGATCCCTATCCAAAGCCACAATATCAACTGCCGGTGTCATACAGTACATGTCGACTCGATACTCGGACTCTTGCTGCAAATGACGCTTA